AACCGCTCTAGCCCGGCACCCTGCTCTGGCACCACCCGTGGTCTGGCATGATGTGAGTTCGCCGGGCGGCTGCTTGGCAGGGGGGTGGCCAAGTTTCCCGCAGTCCCGTGAAGTTTGTTTGCATCCCCCAGTCCTGGCTCTCAGGGTTTAGCTCTAACTCACCCCCCAGTGATTGCTACGGGCCCACAAGTGGGGGAAGTGCTGCTGATGCTGCTAGACAACACTCATAGACTCATAGACTTTAAGGTCAGAAGGGACCATTATGATCATCTAGTCTGACCCCCTGCACAGTACAGGCCACAGAATTGCACCCCCCACTGCTAGAATAATTCTCTCACCTATAACTCAGATATTGAAGTCCTTGAAACAATGGTTCAAAGACCCCAAGATGCAGAGAATCCTCCCGCTAGTGACCCGTACCCCATGCTGTAGGGGCCTCTGCCAATCTACCCTGGAGAAAAACTCCTTCCTGACCCCAAATATGGTGATCAGCTGAACCCTGAGCATGTGGGCAAGACTCACCAACTAGACACCCAGAAAAAAGTTCTCTATAATAACTCCGATCTTCCCGCCGTTGGCCTATTTCCCACTGATAGTGAAAGGTCAATTAATTGCCAAGATCATGTTACCTCATCAAACCATCCCAATCATAAACCCATCTAGCTTTATCTTGAAACCAGATAGGTCTTTTGCTCCCACTACTTCCCTTGGAAGGCTGTTCCAGAACTTCACTCCTCTAATGGTTAGAAACCTTTGTCTAATTTCAAGTATAAACTTCCTACTAGCCAGCTTATATCCATTTGTTCTTGTGTCCACATTGGTATTGAGCTTAAATAATTCTTCTCCCTCCCTGGTATTTATCCCTCTAATATATTTAAAGAGAGCAATCATGTCCCCTCTCAGCCTTCTTTTGGTTAAGGTAAACAAGCCAAGCTCCAAGTTCCTTGAGTCTCCTTTCATAAGACAGGTTTTCCATTCCTCGGATCATCCTAGTGGCCCTTCTTTGTACCTGATCCAGTTTGAATTCATCTTTCTTAAACATGGGAGATCAGAACTGCACACAGTATTCCAAATGGGGTCTCACCAATGCCTTGTATAATGGCACTAACACCTCCTTATCCCTACTGGAAATACCTCGCCTAATACATCCCAAGGCTATATAGCCTTTTTCACATTGTCACATTGGCGGCTCATAGTCATCCTGTGATCAACCAGGACTCCGAGGTCCTTCTCCTCCTCCGTTACTTCCAACTGATGTGTCCTCAGCTTATAACTAAAATTCTTGTTATTAATCCCTAAGTGCATAACCTTACACTTCTCGCTATTAAATTTCATCCTATTACTATTACTCCAATTTACAAGATCATCCAGATCTTCCTGTACGATATCCTGATCATTTTCTGAACTGGCAATACCTCCCAACTTTGTGTCATCCACAAACTTTATTAGCACACTCCCCCTTTTAGTGCCGAGGTTAGTAATAAAAAGATTAAATAACAATGGTCCCAGAACTCATCCCTGAGGAACTCCGCTAGTAGCTTCTCTCCAGCCCGACAGTCCACCTTTCAATATGACCTGCTGTAGTCTTCCCTTTAACCAGTTCCTTAACCACCTCTCACTGACCTCCCATGGTCTGATAAACTCTCTGGTTCGGCACCGGTCGGGTCCCGAGGGTGCCGGACTAGGGAGGTTCGGCCCGTAGTGTGACAGCACCAGACTGGTGCTTCTC